AAAAAAAAAAAGAAAAAAAGAAAAAAAAAGGGAACCCTTTCCTTTGGGGGAAATGAAAAACTTGTACAAACAAGAAAGGTGTGAAGCTGTACATTCTGCATAACTCTGTTGTCCCACTTTTTTGTCTGTTGAGTACTTGGCACAGCTCTTCATTTCCCACTTTTGCTGTATGATCATTGATTTCCCATCACCAACCATGGCTGTGTCTGTCCTTTGGCTGCTTTGTTTGGGAGGGGGGTGGGAAGCGAAGTCGTGCGCAGATTTTGCCTGGAACCATCATGAAAGTTTGAATTATTTTTTTTTTTAAATTGAAAGTAAAATTGAAAGTAAAATTAAAAATTGGCAATAAATTTGGGATTGAGATTCTAAAACCATGATGAAGTTTGAAATTCAATTGGAAAATCGAAAGTAAAATTTGACATGAAATTTAGAACTTGAGATTCTAAAACCATCATGAATTTGTGAAAGAGAAAATTGAAACTTTTGAAAATTGAAATTTGAAAGTGAATTTGACAGTAATTTGGAATTTGAGATTCTGAAAGTAGAATTAGAATCTCGAATTCCAAATTTAATGTCAAATTTACGTCCAAATTTACTTTCAATGTTCAAAAAAATCAGTTTCAAAATTTCATGATGGTTCCAGGCAAAATCTAAAATTTGCCCACGACTCCACTTCCCACCCCTCCCAAACAAAGCAGCCAAAGGACGGACAGACACAGCCATGGTGATGGGTGCGCGTGGAAGCCAGGTGTGATCCTGGCAGCATCAGCCGGGTACAACCGGTTGGGATCTCGTCAGCATCAGACGGGGTAACTTCGTCACGAGCCACCAACGAGCATGAACTAACGTAAAGAGGACATTGCTTATTTCAACACCCAAAAAAAAAAAGATCCAGAACCTTGAGCACTATATAACATTATGTCTTACTCGTTATAAGTACTGTATCATAATGTGCAACATCTATAATTAATATTAATAATTAATTATTAATTTCGTATTGTTATTATTGTTTAAGAATAGTTTTGTTCATATTCCTTTGGCCATTTAATTTTGACGTTCCTGGCCGCAGTTTCGGCGTTTTTCAAACGGAAATCGTCAGGTCCAAACTGGTGGGAACCCGTAAAAAAAAAAAAAAAAAAAAGCCCTGGCGACTATTTTGGTGTCCCAAAACCGCCGAAATTGGGGTCAGGAAAGTAAAACGGTTAAATGCCCACAGGGTTATGTACGTCATTTGCGTGTTTTTTGCATCCTACTCCTTTTCTTTTTCTTTGTCTTTTTTTTTTTCATCTTCAGACTTCAGTGTTGTTAATGGTTTTTTTTTTTTTTTTTTTTTTTTTTTTTTGGGTTGTTAATTGAGAGATTGCCTACCTCGTATGTGAGCTCTCCAGATTCTCAGCACTAGAACAGCCTAGATGTAGTCGATGCGCTTATTTGACTTTTTTTTCTTTTTTTTTTTCTTCTTTTTTTTTTCAACGAAATGGGGGCCGTCGTGAGGAGGGCCGCGGCGGGCGCTGTTGGAGGGAGGATGTTGCTGAGCGTGTGCGGGTTGTAATTAGTGTGTAAAATAATTAACTTCTGCGGATGACTCTCTCAGATTGAATGGAGCACGTGGCAGGTTGACTCAGCTTCCGACTTCTTCGAATATGTGGAACACGTGGCAGGATATTCCAGACGTTGAGGGAGACAGGCGATATGGAATGCAGAGTTTCAGCGTCGTTGTAGGTCAGCAGAAGGTACATGTGTGAAAACACCCAGGTCACTTCACTGAAACTTCCTTGAATGTGCAAAGTTGAAAGGACAAAGCAGAGGGAGTACCCGCCCCCAGTTTGTTGCACGATGTCCATAGCAAAAAGAAGAAGGGGGGGGGAGAAAAGGAAAAAAAAGGAGGGGGGGGGGGGGGGGAGGAAGAAAAGGAAAAAAAAAAGAAAAGGGAAAACGATGTGGACAGCAAGAAGGGAAAGGAAAAGAAGGGGGGAAAAAAAGAAAAACGATGTGGATAGCGAAACCAGGGGAGAATCTCCGCCCACACACCCAACAAGATCTGTTTCTTGATTACCCTTTTTTTTTTTTTTCTTCTGGTACGACCGTGATTTTTTCGTTTTGCTTTTTTATTTCCAATTTTTTGCTGGGTGCCATTCTCTTCTTCCTTCCTTCTTCTTCTTCTTCTTCTTTTTTTTTTTTTGAAAATAGTAAGCCACTTAGCTACATCTTTTTTTTTCTTCTTTTTTTTTTCTTTTTTTTTTGGTTCCCTTATCGCAAGTATTATTATTATACAAGCTTCATCTTGAAAGCCCATCAGCTTTGTATACTTAGTGAAGCTCGGTAGGGGATGGAAAGCGCCGGATGATTGCTTTTTTGGGCTTGCAACGTAGCATAGTATTTGGTTGGTGTTTCGTAGGCTTTTCATTGCAGTCGGTCTTCCGGGGCAGGAATTTCCAGAACCCCCGTTTTGATGTGAGGGACACCGGACCCGTATTTTCCGGTTTGTATAATGAAATGGCACCCTCGGTATGAACCTGGCCGGAGTGCCCGGACATACCGGATAGGTTGCCCATCTTTTTTTTGGAAAAAAAAAAAACAAAACAGAATCATCCATGGCGTAGCTCAGATGGTAAGACAGGCAAGTGGCATTCAGGAGGTCTTGGGTTCAGTCCCCATTGGCCTCATCATGTACCTTCCCGGGCAAGCCTGGGCCCTGCCACCTAGAAATAGGCTGTTGGCCCCCCGGAGCGGCATTGAGCAGAGAACTGCTGATGTTTGTAGGGGGAGGGGACCGGAGGGGGATGTTCGTAGGGGGAGGGGACCCGAGGGGAGGCACAGTGCCTGGCCCTCCGAAGAAGCTCGGTCCTGATGCTACCGGCTGACCCCTGGCCGGTATTGCCCACCTGCTGTAGCAGGTATCTAGCAGGTATCGCCCCTACTGGTGGGTGCAGCTCCCGCATGTTCCCTCGTTGGAGGCTTGAACATGGATAAGGCTGCTACGGGGTTCCCCGTAATACTGTAATGAGTCTAATGACAATAAAAAAGGCCCGAAAGGCTGAAAGGCCATCCTGTCCAGATTCGACAGGTAATTGAATTGGTTGGGCTTAAAAGAATTATTTCCAGGAGCGAAGTGCGGGGTACAAAAGTCAAGTTGTTGAGGTTGTCAAGACATATTGTTGAGGTCGTCAACACATATTCACTTGAGTGTTCCGGCAGAAGTGCTGCTGCGCTGCCGCCTTCAACTAAGTCCTACAAGTGTCAGTCAGAGTACTCAACGGCACTGGGCACCCATAGCCGTAAGTTAGGCAAAAAGAAGTGAAATGAGGAGTACTCAGGGAGGATCGCATGGACTGTGAGTAAGAGAGAGAGAGAGAGAGAGAGAGAGAGAGAGAGAGAGAGAGAGAGAGAGAGAGAGAGAGAGAGANAGAGAGAGAGAGAGAGAGAGAGAGAGAGAGAGAGAGAGAGAGAGAGAGAGAGAGAGAGAGAAGAAGAAGGGAGAGAGACAGCATACCTCTGTGTTGTACTTGGTGGCCATAGCCGCTCGAGTTGGAGGAAGTCAATCTTGTGTGTAAGTGTGGACTCGGAGAGACTATTTTTGGTCCACTTGTCATGTGTCCTTTGTGTAGGCTCTTCCTGGTGTGAGGATTTGTGTGAACATTATTGTGCATGGTTGGTCGCAAAGCAATTGGTATCGGAGCAGACCCTCGGTGAAGCTCGCTATAGAAGTCTCCCAGGTGGTTAGACTTGCATAGCTTCGGATTTGACTATGCATATCTCCCTCCAAGGGTATGGATGCATAACTGTAACTTCATCCGAGGGTATTGACACATTTATGACTCCAAGGGAGCTATACACTATATAGTGTATATATGCATAACCGCCTCCCAAAAAGGGTGAGCACGTATAAGCGTAACCGCGAACAAGGGTATGTACTCATTTATGCCTCCGAGGCTATGCCTCCTGATGAGTCGGTGAGACTCCGGCGAAACAGTTTGKCACAGCCCCTCGTTTGTTGTCCTCTTCTCCCTCTCTGCTTACGGTTTACCGTAGGCAGCTCTGTTTGACGATATATATGCATAACCGCCTCCATAACCGCCTCCAAAAAAAGGTGAGTATGTATAAGCGTAAGCGCAGCCAAGGGTATGTATGCATAAATGCCTCCGGAGGTTTATTTGCATAACCGCCTCGAAGGGTAAATGTGCATGACCATAACCGCATCCGAGGGTACGTATGCGTAAGGGTATGTATGCATAACTGCCTCCAAAAAAGGGTGAGTAATGTATAAGTGTAACCGCATCCAAGAGTATGTAATATGTATGCATGAACGCCTCGGGGGGTATATACTATATATATGTATAACCACCTATGAGGTTATGTATGCATAACCGCCTCCAAGGGTTTGTATGAGTAACCCCATGGGGTTACAGAAGCTCTCTACAGACGTCTGGCAGGCGTTTATGCTTGCCAGCTGCTCCAGTGTATTTTCTGGCTGTGACAGACCTTTCTCTGTTTCATGGGGGGGGGTTGCTGGGTTATGATGGGGCGTGAACCTGCAGTCTGTAGGGTACTCCTGTTGTGGGTGAGTGATAGTCTGCTTTGATTTTTGTCACAGGTACCCTTGAGGGCAGGTGGTTGGTGCCTACCGCGGGGCATCAGTTGTGGTGGGGCGAGTGATA